TACATCTGCCAGTCATCCTGATTTATCATTACACATCCTATACATGTATTAAAGTGCCACCTTGTTCCCTGTGAATATGTACAATTACTGTGTCAATTAAAGATATACTAATTAAAAAAAAATGTAATTGACTCAGATATATTCAGCTATGTTTTGTCAATAGTATAGATCAAACTAATAAGTATATATGCCATATAAATTTTGCATAAATAAAAATTCATTCTTATGTTTTTTAAGATGTAAAATTATTCTAAAGGTGTGTTTCTCAGATTATGTGTCCAGATCCATTATTAAACCATTAAATCGTTGTAGAGAGTCACTGTCAGAGTTATTTGAGTGAAACAGGATGGAGAGGATAGAAAATACTAGGGAGCTTCACACGTCATAAGATTAGGATTGTTTCAGAAAACTGAGTTGAGTTGCAGATCCAGAAACACATGTTTATACATATATGTACCGGGCCACATCACAAAGAACGTGTTTTACTACATTCATGGTGAAAAGTTTTGACAGACAAACCATGAATTGCTTCTGGGGAAAACACTACGGTCTTGAAAACAGTAACCAGTCATGAGGAAGATCTGCAGCAAAGGCTGCCCAGTTTGGCACTTTCCCTCCTGCCCAGTCTGCTCCCCTCGGTCGGACCAGCTTCCCCTCAGCGGTGGAGCACGACCGCTGATCGAGTCCCGTGGGCACGTCGGGGACTGCAGCGCCAGCCCCTCCAAGGGCCTTCTAGATCAATAGCATATGCAGACGCTTTTTCTCTGTCTCTCTGTCTCACATACACACGAACACACACACACACACACATGCAGTCTTTCTCCATTCCCACCTGGAGACTGCAATTAGGTCCATGGACTTTTAAAGAACTTGAAGGAAAACATGAGCATTCCAGATGTTTATGGCGGAAACATAAACTTCTCTATGACTGTCTGATCCAACACTCATTAGTAGACAAAGAAACTGACACTTGAGTGCTGTAGCTATGTTTTCTGAGTCACAAAAGATTCCCTGTAAAACTAAAAAAAGTCACCGTGTTGTCAGTTCTGGGGTTTTAAAAATTGTATGCTAAAGTTATAATAATCAATTAGAATGCACAGATTAGGGCTGGGGTGTCGATCAGTAGGAGAGAAGTTGCATAGCATGCGCAAGATCCTGTGTTAGAACCCCAGCCCTGGAAAAATGCACTAATTAACAAAGAAGACCATAAGTGCAAACATGTCTATATTTCTTCTTTCAAGAATGAGGTTGTAAGAAGTTCTAGGTAATCTTGGGTTTTGGTGGTGACATTTTAGATAAATCATCAAAATTATGACCCACAAAGGGGGAGTCGATAAATCAACCCTTAAAACAGAAATTTTCTGCCCCTCTACTGATACTGTTAAAATAATTAAAAGACATGCCACACTCACAGAAAATCTTTGCAAAATACATATCTAATAAAGGACACATATTCCAAATATATGACGAACTCTAAAAATTCAATTTCAAAATGGACAAAAGATCTGGACATCTCACCAAGGAAGATATGCAGATGTCAAATAAGTATATAAAGAGATTTTCAACATCATTTGTCATTAGCGGACTGCAGATTAAAACAAGATACTACCATACGGCTATTTAAATGGCTAAAATTCAAAACACTAATGCCATCAAAAACTTTCAACAAATGAAGGAAACAGGAGCTCTTGTTTGTTGCTAGTGGGAAGGCAAAATGGTGTAACCACTTTGGAAGAGTTCGGCAGTTTCTTACAAAATCTAACGTACTCTTACTATACGATCCAGCAACTTTTCTTCTGCGTATTTAACTAAATGAACTGAAAACTGCTGGGCCTGGTGAGTCATGCCTATAATCCCTGTCCTCTGGGAGGTTGAGGTAGGAAGATGGCAATTTGGAGCCGTGGGCAACTTAGAGATATCTGTCTGTCTGTCTGTCTGTCTGTTGGTCTGTCTCAGCTATCTGTCTGTCTGTCTGGCTGCCTATCTTTATATCTATATCTATACCTATGGTAAAAGGCTTGGGATATAGCTCAGTACTGGTTCAATTCCAAGTACTGCAACAACAACAATAACAATAAATAAAAGTTTTTAAAAAGGAACTAAAAATCTATATGCATACAAAACCCTGTATGTGGATGTTTATACCAGTTTTGTTCATGATTAACAAAATTTTGTGGCAACCAAGATATCCTTTAGCAGGTAAACTGATAGACTGTGACATACCATACAGCAGAACATTACTCAACTTGGGAAAGAAGTGGAGGAGCTAGGTAGCTCAGTGGTGGACTGGCTGCCTAACACATACATGGCCTTGGGTTTTATTCACAGAAAAATAAAATAAAAGAGGTATCAGGCCATGAAAAGACATGAAGGAAATTTAACTATGTATTACTAAAAGGAAGAGCCATTTGAAGGGGTACGTACTCTATGCTAATAACCGCATGACATTCTAGAAAGGGAAAAACTATAAAAACAATAAAAAGATCAGTAATCAACAATCTTTTTTAAATCCCAGACAGCCCAATTCAAAAGCGGGCAATGGACAGGTGTTTATTGGCCATTTGTATAGCTTGTTTCCCCAGGAAAGAGATAAAAGTGGCCAATAAACATATGAAAAGACGCACAACATCATTGGTCATTAAAGAAGTGCAGATCGAAACCCCAGTGAGATGCACTCCATACCCGCTAGGATGGCTGTTATTAAAAATAACACGCCCAAGAGTTGCGGAGGATGGGAACAACACTGCTGGTGCGGCGTGCTGGTGGTAACACTTTGCAGTGGCTATGAAAGCTGGAGCAGCTGCGGTGTGAAAGGATTTGGTGGTTCTTCTCAAGTTAAAGACAGAACTGCCATAATGATCCAGCAGTGTCACTCTTAGTTATATGCCCAAAGGAAAATAAAGTAGGTACTTGAACAGATGCTTTGCACACCAGTGTTTGCAGTAGCCTTATTCACAAGAGTCAAACGGTGGAAACAACCCAAATGTCCACCAACAGATTAATGGGTAAACAAAAAGATAGTATATACATACAAAAGAATATTATTTAGCCATAAAATTGAATGAAATTCTACTACAACATGGATAAATCTTGAAATCATTCTAAGCAAAATAAACCAGGTACAAAGGACACATCTTATATGATTTCATTTATATGAGATACTAGAATAGGCAAATTCATAGAGACAGAAAGTAGAATAAGGCCAGGCATGGTGGCACACGCCTGTAATCCCAGCCTTGAGGAAGCTGAGGCAGGAGAATCACCACGAGGTCAAGGCCAGCCTGGGCTACATAGTAAGTTCAAAGCCAGCCTGCACTACATAGCTAGACCTTGTCTCAAAAAAACCACAGCCCTCTGTGGTTCTTGGCCAGCTTCTGGTGCTAAAGCGGAAGAGTCAGTGGCAGTAGGTAGGAAACCGGGTTTGTGGGCACACACCCTGGCTCAGGGCGGAGCGGGTCTTTCCCGTGGCCCCACAGTTGCCTGTCTACCCCAGGAGGCTTCCACCTGGTGATATCCAGCCACTGACGTCCACGATTACTCAGCTTTTTACCTGCTCGCTGTACCGTAGCAGGGAGGACATGGAATACGCTGAGCACGGGCGTGGATACGTGAGACATCGTCGTGCTTTGATCAGTCTCGTCAGGCCAGTCTCTTGCCCTCCTTGAGTAGGGGCAGAAAATGCCTGTCTTGCTCAAAATCTCAGCTTCTTGCAGATCCCCACTCAGACGCGGTTATCTCCACTGGTCCTCTCAAATTTTAGCTTCTGTCCTCTGCAGGCTTGGTGTAAAATATCCCCTGCCCCTAAATTCCCAGACCCTCTGAATCTCACCTTTCTACATCTTCAGCTAATATTATGATTGCCACCGGATGCCTGTCCTTGTCAGGCTGGACTGCAGCCCTGGACAGATGTTAATAATGTACAGACATAGTAGCTTAAAAAGCAAGTTAGAAGCCAGGTGTGGTGGTGCATGCCTGTAATCCTACGAAGTGCCCAATAAACTGGGCATAGTGGCACACACTTATAACCCCAACACTCGGGAAGCTGAGTCAGAAGGATTGCAAGTTTGAGGCCAGCCTGGGCTACATATATATGTATACACAGATAGTCTCAATATTTGTTGATGGAATGCAAGAATGGATAAATGACTGCTGTTCATTCTCCTGCTTGGCAACCGTGTTTTGATCCTGTACACGTGTTCATGTACTCTTTCTATTATACGGGGACTTCAGTACAGCAGAGCTCTGCTGAGTGAGTCTGAGTCACCGTTCTCTGGCACAGGGTGTCATGTATTTGACACCATGCCCTTGCCAATAGCCTGGGAAAGTTCATCTATTCCTCCACCTCTCCGGCTACCTCCTGCTCTCTTTTTTAAATTAAAAATTTTGTATTTTTTGTTCGTACACGTTTGCAGTAAATAATAATTGCACTTATGGTGGGGGGCTGGTACATGCACCTAACACATGTAATTCTTTTTTTTTTCCATCCTCCACCCTCTCCCCTACTTCCCTGCTCCCTCAGCTCTCGGTCGCCTTTCAATTTGCCAGCTAAGACTACACAGCACTCTTTCAGGGGATTGTCCACGAACAGCCCCTCGCCCCCACAGCTAGGCTAGGTGTGGTCCTACGTATTCACCTGTTTCCTCTAACTAACTCTTGTTACACGGCGTCAGTTTTCATTGTCTGGCCTAGAGCTTATGTGTTCCACGAGAAGAGCTGTCTGTCGGTCACTGTTGTCTCCCCAGGGTCTGGAGTAACGCTTGGAAATAGCACACACTTCAACATTTGAATTTGGAACACAGGACTCATCTTAAACAAGGGCTTCCTTCCTGCGCGAGTCCCTTCGTTCACAGCCTAGAGTGGGGCTAGGAGGAGCGTGTAGAGTACTGACCCACCTGAAGTAAGATTTGGCTTTAAGCTCTTACGCCACATGAGAGATATTGTCTACTCCCTCCACGTTTGCACGCATATGCATTGAAGAAAAAGAGACACAAACAAGCGGCTGTTGGCTTACAGGCATAGAGTATATTTGGAGAATGCATGCCTCACTTTCACATTAGTGAAAATGGCTATTTACAGCCTTTTCCCCGGGGGACGCAGAGGTTGGGGGGCCTCAAACTCCTTTTGCTTGAAATGAGTGCTCTCCTTGTATAAACTAATGCCTTCTGCTGATGGGAGCGTTGAGACCTGGGATATATTTCTTGCTTGGGTGGCACCAGTCAGTTGAGGTCAGATTTTGTAGCAGCTTTGCGGGTGGCGTGGGCCCCAGGGTTGCCTGGACTGGAGGGAGTGTTGCTGGAGCTGAGTGTGCGGGTGTCAGAAAAAGTTCTGCCCCTTCTCGGTACAGGGAGGCTGGGCCTCATGACCATTTACCGTCTTCTCCAAATGAGCTTTGGTGAGAGTTGGAAGCTCCTCCACCTCCTTTGTACTGGATTTGGCCCCTGTCTCACATTTACGGTGGAGAACGGATTCCTTGTGCCTGTGATCTTTCACTTCAGGGTTAATCCAGTGCGAAAAGAATGTCATCGTATTTTCCAAATCAACTTCTGGAGCACCTGGAAGGGTGAAGATCTTCTGAGTGTGGGATCCCCTTACCAGATCCTCCAACTCCTGGCCCCCCAAATTCTTGCCCCACACCGAGTTTTGCCCTGTAAAGCATGGCCCTGAAACATCTGTCTCCAAAAAGTTTGGATTTGAAAAATGTGGCCCCTTCAAGTACTGGACTTGCAAAATTTTGCCCAGTAAATGATGGCCCAGTGAGTTGGCACTGTAATGTCTGATCCTTCATGTCCTGTCAGGTTTGACACTCTCGGGCTTTTTGGTTTCAGGAAGATTATTCAGCTTAGTCTAACAGTCTTGCAGATCATTATCCCCTGGTCTTTTGGCCCCAAAGAACCACAGAGGGTGCTCTGGGAACACAAGACAAGGGGGAAGCTGGCACGGAATAGCGGGCTGAGAGGGTGGAGCTGGTGCTGCCACAGACCCAGACACGTCCTTCTCAGTGTCTGCTCGCTCAGGGCAACCACGTCAGCTAAACGGAAGTTCTACCTGAGAAAGAGCCTGGAGATACGTCTGTGAAGTGAGGGCTCTAGTATTCTGCGCAGAAGTCCTCATGACCCAGAACCTCAGAACAGTGGGTTTTCTCTGTGGTTAGGGAGAGCCCCAGTGCTATACTTCCCTGTGATTCCCAGCTGCTTTGAATTTTCCTGTGGCCTCTGTTTTCTCTGTTAGAGACTTGTTTTCACCCTTGAGAAGGCCTGGACTAAGGGGTCCAGAATCATCCAGCCTAGGTTTCTCACTTTGGCCTCTAACTATACACAAAGTACCTGGGCCTCTGTCGTGTCTCTGCTGGGTTGCGAGATCCCAGAGGGGCGCTGGGCAGAATCATGGGAGATTGCTGTGGAACTAGGTCACCTCTGATTCTGCTGCACTATCTTTAGTTCAAATGTAAACCACTCTTCTAAGCAGACCCATTCCGTATCTGAGACACACGGAATCCTGGTGGGGTAGGGAGTTCCTGAAGTAAGTTTTCCTTTGGTTGTTTAGATCCCAAAGGTTCCCTAAGTGCAGATGCTCTTTGGATGGCTAAGATTTGCTCCTGTATGCCTTTGTCTTTATGGGGCCTCCCCAAATGTATCTCCAGGAATTTCTTTTTCATAATGAAATTGAGTTTCTGCAAGATAGGTGTCTTGAATGATTAGGGGCTGACAGCAGCTGTCTCACTCTCCAGAATCACCACCTGCATTCACTTGCACTGCAGGCTGGAATGCCTGTACACCACACAAGGCTCGTCGGCGTCCTGAAAGCATGACCTAGGACTTAATATCTTGCTGCTTAGATGAGATTGAGTCAGAGGTTATGATGGGCCACCATTTCTGTGACTGCAAGTTACCTGATGATTGCTGGGTCCGTGGCCGAGAGAGCCACAAAACAGGGAGCAGGTAGCCCTGACGGGAATGCAAGCCTGTTTCTCCTTTCTCCATGATTCCTTGGAACCAGAGCACAGGCATCTCAGGGTCATCAGTAATAGAGTCTAGTAAGATCTAGTACTGCCGGCCGAGGTCTGTAAGTACTTAGGGAGTCACTTCCCGATATGTGTGTGACCTGGTTGTTGCCTTCAGGTCTAGAGGCTCGCTTTCCAGAGGACAGGAGAACCAAGTTGCTGTCAGGGCCCTGGGAATGCTATAGATCCAATAATTTGCAATTCTAGCAACTACAGATGTGGGCAGAGATGGTGCCCCAGCAGATCTTCCCACATTTGTAATCTATGTGGCCGTGCAACATGGCTTTGGGCTGAGCAACAACCGTGGACCCTTAGTGTTGCCACAAGAGATCATTACGGTCACCAAGCTCCCTGCCTTGGGGCTGCAGGATGGGAGAGACTTGTACAGGTCAGGGTTGTGCTGCTTCACAATAAGAGCCGCTCAGAGCAAGGGACAGGAGCAATTGCTGAATCTTTGGGGGCAGCTCCATCAATGGTAAATAAACCTGCCATTTCCTCCACTCTGAAGGTTGAACTCCAATAGCCTTTGAGCACTGCTGCTTTGAGCATTCCGGGCCAACGCTGCTACTACCCTGAGGACCGAAATGGGATCTCCTAATCAGAGAAGGCCCTGGGTCTGGCAGAACAGGTGGCAACATCGTCTCAGGGCTTATGCTAGGTGGCTCTCTGCGTCCACAGAGACTTCTGGACGATAGCTATCAAACCCCCTGGAGCTGGAGCTGCCTCTGCAGCAGTTGCTACACCAAGGCTTCACAATTGGCACGGGTCACAAGTGAGATTTTGATCTAGGCTTGTCAACGGTCAGGCAGAGAAGTCCACGTGTGGAAATGTGGGAAAGGATCTGAGCTTAATTTAAGGGGAGAAAATCTTAGGCAACACAGAGAGGGAGCAATTATTGCAGACAAAAGGCCCAGTGTGCCCTTGTTGTGCAGGAATCTCTAGAGGCCGACCAGAAACTCACTGTGAGGAAAAGAGAAGTTGCAGAAAATTACCCAGAGATGGTACAGTGGGGCCTCAGTATGTCCCCCCGAGAATAGACAGATAGCATTTAAAAGCTGGAAGGTGGAAGACAATAGAACCAGAACCATGGGTTGAGGTTTGGGATTTAGTCAAAACGATATTTCTGCTCTGTGGTGGTCCGGATGGCCTTCCATTAGTCCTAGGTCAAGACATGGAAGCCCCATCTTTTCAACAGAGGCCTTAGAGGTAGCACTCAGGATGAAAGAAATGTATGTTTGTTTTCCAGGCTTTGCAAATATTGGGAATAGTGTGGTGTAAGCTGCTACAGGAACTCCTCACAGATCATGGGAGCCCTCAGTGTGGAAAAACATGCATCTATATCTTTCTGCTTAAAGGTACCTCAGGGCCTTTTGGACATAGGAACAGCAGGTGAAGGGAGTGCAAGATTATAAAGTGGAAGATGCGGCCACAACCACAAACACACTCTGCCACCTGGTCTTTGACAAAGGGGCCAAACACGCTCACTGGAAGAAAGATAGCCTCTTTCATAAATGGTGCTGGAAAAACTGGCTCTCCACATGCCAAAGATTGAAACTAGACCCAAGTCTATCACCATGCACCAAACTCAAGTCAAAATGGATCAAAGATCTAAATATTAAAACAGAAACACTAAATCTACTGGAAGAGAAAGTAGGTAAAAATCTTAAAGACATAGGGGTAGGCAGAGAGTTCATGAATAGAAACCAAACTTCATGGGAAATACTTCAAAGAATCAACAACTGGTATCTCATGCTATTGAAAACTTTTTGCACATCTAAAGAAGTCACCAGCAGAATAAAAAGAAAACCCACAAATTGGGAAAAATTTTAGCCAACTGTCCCTCAGACAAAGACTTCTATATAGAACATATAAAGTATTTAAGAAAATCAGCCCCCGAAATTCAAAGACCCAATACAAAAATGGGCATCTGAGATGAATACACACTTCTCAGATAAAGAAATACAAATGGCAAATAAATATATGAGAAAATGTTCAATATCATTAGTCGTTTGAGAAATGCAAATTAAAACAACACTGAGATTCCATCTCACCCCAGTAAGAATGGCTATCATTAAGAAATCAACCAATAACAAATGCTGATGAGGCTGTGGAGAAAAAGGAACCCTACTCCACTGCTGGTGCAACCATTGTGGAAATCAGTCTGAAGATTCCTCAGTAAACTAGGATTATAGGTCCCATTCAACCCAGCTATTTCCCTTTTGGGTATTTTCCCAGAAGAACTAAAAACATCATACCACAGCGATATATGTGCATCCATGTTTATAGCAGCACAATTTGTTGTAACTAAATGGTGGAAGCAACCCAAATGCACATCCACTGAGGAATGGATAAAAAAGATATGGTATTTTTATATAGTGAAATATTACTCAGCTATAAGGAGGATAAACTCAAGGTTTTTATAGGCAAATGGATGCAACTAGAGACCATACTCATAAGTGAAATAAATCAGTCCCGCATGTGTAAATACTGTATTGTCTCACTAGTGTAAGAACCTGAAAGAGTAAATAGAATCTAAAAGGTACAATAGATATTGTGAAAGGGAAAGAAACTGCTCAAAAGGAAAGAACAACTGAGATGAGGGAAAAGGGAAAAGAAAGAAAGAAGGGAAAAACTATGTATGTGTGTATACACAAGATAGTTAAGATAACTGCACTACTAATTTCTATTGCTTTATGGAAAGGAACAGTTAATGTTTAATTGTTTGATTAATCTTATATGCCCATATCTGGTTATATGAGTAACCAATTTGAAGATATCAATATGTAATACAACGACCATTGTTAATTTCCTATCAGCTTGTCTGAAATTCTGTGTTGCTTCTATTGTTTTGGTGTTGTTTTGTTTATGTCTGTTTGTTCGTTAATATGTTTTCGTTCTTTGATCTTTAAAATAAAAAAAGATTATAAACTGTTGATTTAGGCTCTGGTGCTCTGGGTCCAGGGAAAGGAGTCTGATACTCAAGGGCTGCTGACCTGAGCTCATCAGGGCAAGTTTTGGCTTATTCTTTGTTCTCTCCTTCCAGTTCCCATGAATGCCAGCTTCCTTGAGGCTTGGAGAAGAGTGCGCTCGTGCTGCCCGGAACACCCGCGGCACTCGAGCCGTCTGGAGGTGATCGGACCGGTGCTCTGGGACGCTCGCGCCGCCAGTTGACTGCGAAGCTGACTGAGTTAAATATTTCTGATCTGTTAATTGCCACAGTGTGGGGCCAGATGTCCATAAAAGCTCTCTGGAGTCCTGGAAAACCAGCTTCCGACTCCGTCCGAAAGGCACACTTGCTGGGGACAGCATTCCTAGAGGAGAGGAGCTCTGGAATGGTTTCGAGAAAGTGGGAGAGATCTGGTTGTTTCTACCCACAAGCAACTGCTGAATCTCCAGAGCCGTAGCGTTGCAGATACGGCAGGAGGGATCTGCACACAGAAGCCGCCGCACACTTCCTTCCTGGGGAAGCCACTCCTGACTGAAAGGAAAGGCGGAAAACATTAATGAGGGGGGACATCTCCCTCCGTGGAAGAACGTGGCCTGGGGATTCCTGCCTCTCACCTCAGGTCCTGCAAGCCCTGGCCCTACATTCACTGTGGAAACAGGTCCTTGTGGAAACCCTTAAGAACACGGGGTATCCCTGCCATGGCACTCTGCATCCATGGGGAATCAGCCCCTCTCTAGAAATCCTGAGGCAGAGATAAGATCATGGGCTGCTGTGCGCGAGTGTCCCTGGCACTGGCCTCCCTGAAGACAGACCAGCGGAGGTGGCATCAGCAAGGTCCTGCAGACCCAGGTCTCTAGCCCTGAGCCTGTGGCTATAAGGAGTGCACGACAATGATGATTTGTTCAGCAAAGTACATTATTTTGCGGGGGAGAGGGTACTGGGGATTATCCTCAGGGCCTTCGCACTGAGCTGCATACCCAGCCCCAGTTTTACATTTTTTTTAAAAAATAGGGTCTCACTAAGTTGCCCTAGAGTAGTTCAAACTTGTGATCTTCACAGAGTGCTGGAATTGCAGGCGTGCACCACCTCACCCAGCCAAAACCGATTCTCGTGGCTAGGTAATCTGCTTCATGGCTGAGTGTTGCCCTATATAATGCCTCTTATTAACAATATACAGGCAGGGGCTGGGGATTTAGCTCAGCGGCACAGTGCCTGCATGGCAAGCGCGAGGCCGTGAGTTCAATTCCCGGTACCGGAAAAAATAAAAAAATAAAATATACAGGCAAAATCTTGAACTGTAGAACTACCGCGACCCTGGCACAGTGCAGAACTGAGTGGTTCTTCCCTCTTGAGGTGTCTAAGCCACCCTATGCCCCGACAACGCGATCCCTGAAAAGCCTCAGTTTACGTCTCACTGCCAGTCACGAACCCTTACTACTCATCTCTGCCCTGGGGACAGGCCAGGAGCTCGTAGTGCAGGCCTGGGGCTGGGAGACGAGAGAGCAAAAGCAGTCACCTTTCCATGAGAGACACTAGCTTCTGCAGCCTCTCAGCTTCTTTCTGGGAGGATCCCTTAGCTGAGGAACAAGAGATCATGGTGAGCAGACAGTGGAGGATTCGGGGACATCCGCAGACAGCTGAAGGTCTTTGAATGAGAGGAAAGGGGAAACCCAGGAACTAACCCCTGTGTTACACGTGTGTACACTTGGTCATTTACCACGTGTTGCTGACACCTAATCTCGCTTGAACTCTACCCCAGCTGGGGGTGAGGCAGGGTCACTGGTGCCGCGGCCAGTCTCAGGGAGAGCAAGCCTGAGAGATGAAGCGACTTCCGGGGGATGTAACCCTAGCAAACCACACAGTTATGACGTCTGCTCTACTTCCTCATTCTTCATTCTCAGGGAGAGAATTTGGAATGTTCCTGCCTCTGATTTCCCACCCACGTGAGTCTTCTGTCAGCATCGTCTTCAGGGATGTTATAGGCTTCAGCAGGGAGAGCACCCGCTCTGGCACCGCTCTCAGGGTCCGGCCAGTATCTTGGGAACCTCATGCCCGCCGAATGGCTCTGAGGAGGGGCTGAACTTTACCTCTCAATGTTGCCTCTCCGGACCTCTGTTTGACTCTTTGGTGATGCTTAAAGACAAAAACATTAGAATGTGAAGCTGGGTCATGGTTTCCTTATGTGTAAAATTATACAAAACCTATAAAAGTTTCCTGATCTTTTTTTCTATTCCAGTTTTAAACTTTGCTACCTTCTTCATATCCTATCCTGTTCACACCAGCCTTTCCTTCTCTGCTTATCTCTGACTCACTGTGAGCTTCTTCCATACTTTATACCTTGCACGCTTGTTCCATGGACAAAGTCTATAGGGAATTCTAAATGAGACGGGAGGAAAGTGCAACAAATTCAATGGGGTGAAACTAGTAACCAAAGAACCCCAAGCAGTACAGGCCATAAATGACCACCAAACAGAGTAACGACTCAAGCTGAGAGCCATTCTGGGACTCAGTGAGGAGCACCCCACACAGCACCGTTAAAAGACGAAGGAGCTGCACGTGTGGCTCATGTAATCTCAGCACTCTTGGAGGCTGAGGGTGATTGCCTGGGCAAATGAGTGACTTAGTGGAAACCTATCTCAAAATAAAAAATAAAAGGCTAGGATGTAGCTCAGTGCAACAGCCCTGGGTTTAATCCCAGTAGGGAAAAAGGAAGGAAAAGAGAAGAGAACAGGAAGGGAGAGGAGGGGAAGGAGAGGGGGAGGGGAAGGGGAGG